GATCAATCTGAACATTTATGTTTTGCTGGTCGATTGTGTTAACTTATATATATACATATTTATATTTATGTGTGTATGTGTATATATGCAATTCAGTAAATATTTATGCACATACAAATTGCAGCATTTATTTAACTCCAACTTGGCTGGGTAATTAAATTTATTTGGAATTCAACTTGTCGCATTGCCTGGCTGCTGCTCGGCTGCTACGACTCCTCGGCTGCTTGGCTGCCTGTTGGCTGCTGCGCATTCATTGAAAAATCCGCAACTAATTAGGACACGAAGCGGCAGGAAGTACACGTAGACATAGATGAGAATGTGTCTTCCTGTGCTGTTGTCGCCCCCCTCCCTCACCTCAGCTCTCTCTCTCTCTCTCTTTCTCGCACTGTCGCACTGCCTCTGCTCTCTGCCAGGCCAGAGATAAGCAACTCGAGTGTCGTCTGTCGCATTTGCCGGGCCAGACAGAGCGACAGACGGACAACCAGGCAGCCAGCAGGATGCAAAAATAAATAGAATCAGACACAAGCAAAGAGACTTTAAAGAGCTGAGGGGCTTGAATATACCCACACCTGACATGCGGAAGTCATTATTACGAGTATTTGCAAACATGATTTACAAGTTTTGCATTTATTAGAGCAATAAAACATTTGGTGAGTGATATTTGCGTTTTCGCCACTCTTTAAATCACAGAAAATGTAGAAATATTTTTATTAATGATAATATTGATATATTACCTGAATGGAGTTTTAATTTTTAAATTTTATAAGTATCACTTTAGAAAGTTAGAATAGTTTATTTATTTTGAATTTATTTATTGCTGTCATTAATTTTTATTTATTTGGTTATTTCGCATTGAACATCGAATTAGTTTTTTATACATATTTGTCTTTTACTGTCGCTCGTAGCTCTTCAACTACTACCTTCATGTAGAAATGTATATAGAAAGTGAGAGGGATAAAGATAATGAAAGAAAAAGAAAGAAGAAGAAAAAGAAAAATAATAATAGAAGAATTGATGAGCAAAAATGAAGCGAAAATAATTGCAATTAACGACTTTTTAATTCTCATTTAACCATATATATTTCTTTACAGGCCTATACAAGAGCTCTATATAATATATACATATACATATATGCTTAAGAGCTTTATGGAATAAATATACATATATATTTAATAAGTGTCAAAGTGAGTAAGACTTAACGATAGGGAGTGAACAGGGAAGCAAGGTATAAGAAACGAAAGAAAGAGACTGAATGAGAGAGAGAGAGAGAGACAGATAGAGAGTAAGAGTTATTGAATGCTGTTCATGAGTAAGGGGTATGTAATGAATACAAATATGTATATATGTATATCTTTCATTTAGCTGTATATATCAGTACAACTAGCATATATATATGTATTTACATCAAATATGTGGCTGTGGTAATAGACATAATTAACAGCCTGACCCTAATTTAATACAAATTGTGCAGTTTATATATGCATACTTCATTCATCTTGGACATTTCTGGAGCATGTCTGGCAAGAACATGATGCCAACTTTCTCTGACTTACTTGTTTAAAATATTTAAGCTAAATGACGATACAACCGCTGGCAATTAGAGCTGTCAACGCGCTCAAATGGACTGACACATTGTTGTTGCGCCCATTTAGCAGGGTCGTTGAGACTGAAGCGACAATGCGATACTTGCGAAAAGTATTGATTAGTATTTGAATAATAGATGCACTTGGGTATGGTGTGGGCGGCAAGTTTATGGGGCGTTTCACTGGGTATCCATTGATAAACTGTGCGGCGAATAAATGAAGCGCTTTGTTTGTTTATCGCCCAGTATCTCAAAGAAGCATCCTCCAGTTCAGGAGGGGGGCTCAGTTCAGTGGAGGCATCGCCGGATAAACCACTCGAATAATGCAGTCGAGCGTAAACTGTTGATGCCCTCAACAGCGAGCCCCATCTCGCCCCCCCGCTCTCTTCCTCTCTTACTCACTCTCTGCATGGCTGTCCTCGAGTCGGTCCTTGCACAAAATTTACATTTAATGAGGTTTAAGTAAGTGTAAGGTGCGAAAAAGTCATTCGAAATGCTTCGCCAGGCTTTCAGCTTTAAGCGATATGCCCTGCTGGGCGTCAACAAATTGATATTGAATGCAAATTTTATGCCCAGTGTTGCGAAACGTATTCCAACTATTACTGCACTCATATTGAGTTCATTTGCTCATTGATTTAAGGGGAATGCGTTGAAGAGCTCTCTGGAAGACTACGATTACGGCTGAGCGTTTGAAGCGCACTGCTCTTGATCTGCCCCACTCAATGATTCCAATTCAACGCGTTGCAAATTCTCATCTAAGTTGTATTATTAGTATTATTATCTACAATAAATTAATCAAATTTATATTTACCAAAAATGAATTTTTATTGTTTATTATTAATTAATTTTTAATACACAAAATTTAAGCAGATTTTTTCTTTAAGCATACATATACAATAAAGAGAATGTGCTCCAGCTTTTATTCTCATTTAAACACAAATTTCCTTTTCATTTTGGATTTCACTTTAATCACATTTTCTTCTCTTGATTTTCTTTACACGATTTTTCTTTTTCTGCATTTTGCTTTTTCGATACATTTGTTGGCATTCGATTAACTTGGGAATTATATCTGTAATCAGTTTGACTTTCTTCATTCAAAGAACGAAAGTTTGCTTTCTTTCTTTATCTAAAAAATAAAAATAAAAAATTCATTATTTAAATTAATAGTAGACTAGTAGTAGACTTAAATTAGTAGTAGACTACTTTGATAATCTCTAAACGATCTCTATTTATGTATAATAATATATACAATCTCTATATTGGGATGGTCTATAAAACATTGAAGATGTATATTTTCTTTGAATATAACAAAATATCTAAATATGATTAGATTCTCGGTCTGCTTTCAGAAACTTATTTACTGGGAATACCAACCAAAAACCGCCAAAAGCTGTGGTAAAATTCTGCTTCAAAGTCGCGAGTCGAAACCGCATTTGAGCATTTCCACTAATTAAAGTGACACGAAAACCGCAATACACAAATACACATATACATATATGCAACACACACACACACACTATACAAAACGACAAATAAATCAGCGTTTGCCGCAACGTAAAGCTGGCAAAGTTTTTCGGCGGGTAGAAAATGGGAAAATTTGTGTGCTTGGCAGGAGCTTGATGCCTGCAGCTCCTTCGCTCCTCCACTGGCTGCTGGAGTAGATTGAATTTGGGACAGGCCACGGCTTTGTGGTGACAACATTTGTCCAACTGCCACTGTCAGCGGCATTTGCGAGTAAAATGCTGCTGTTGCCTCTTTAATTACGCCACTCACCTGAGCATTTTTGTTTTAGAGATCCAAGTGCTTGGCGGAGCCTTCCAAGCCCGCTGCCAGCTGATTTGGCAGCTGCAGCAGTCCGTTCAGTGCCAGCGGCGCAGCACGTCGATCCTTGGCCGTGGCATGAGCTGAACTAGCGTTGCCCAGAGCGCCTCCGAGCCAACGCTTGTACGTGTGCTCCGGCGTGGTGTGCCAGTACTTGTGGAACGAAATGGGCGCATTGAGCTGCAGCAGCTCTGGCGCATAGTCCTGCGGCCGTGCCTGATGCAGAGCGGGCACATGCGTGGCCGTCACGCCCATTGCCTGCAGACAGTAGCCCAGTATCATGTCGTCTGGTGCACTTGCTGTTGGACAACTGCACCGCTGCACCACAAGTCTCAGCAGCGGCACGCTAAGCACAATGCCAGCGCCACCTGTGTGGTAATTGAAGCCATCCGGGGCATACAGTCGATAGCCATAGCGTTCCCCAAGATAAATGTGATTCGTGTGATTGTAACAGCCAAGCAGTTTGCTTAGCCGTGGTACGCTGCGTGCAAAACATTTCAGATAAACGTAGAAAAGAATTTGTTAAAGAGAACGCAATGATCATTTATTAAGAGAGGTGCGCAAGTAAAAGAGCAAAATTCACATGCAGAGTAAGCGCAACTGTCCAAAAAGCAAACAATTTGCCAGCTAAAGCTGTTAATGCTATGCTGTTAATGCTAGATATATAGAAAGACAGGGAAAGAGAGAGAGAGAGGGAGAGATTTGCTACTTGCACACTATTCCTCTTACTCGCTTTATTAGTAGATGCGCATGTGGCTCAGAAGCATAATATATGAGTGCTCTTATTAGTGTTAGTGTGTAACGATGCTTTAACGAAGGCTCAACTGTAAGCGATTGCATTGGAGAGAGTGAGCACAAGAGCTAGTCGCGCTGTTAAGCAAGTTTAAGGCTCTATTGCAAAGAGATCATTTCAATAATTCCTGAGCATCTGCGCTGAAGAGCAAAATAATAATTGAAGCCGTTCAGCATACAGTAGGCACGCCGTGTGTAAAAATATGCAGCATATAGATATCAATAAAAATATAAATGAATTGTAAAAAAAAACAATCCGAGGCAATGATAATTTTAATTGAATGTGCGTTGAGGCGTGTAAGCCGCAAAAAAATCATGGCGCACACATACATACGCTCTCGCAAAAGCTAGCTCTCTTAAATGCACACATATAAAGACTCACTGGCTACCTCTCTTCCTCTCTCTCACACACATGCACAGACATACAGACATACCTTAGCAGCGTATCATCGTCGACAAGCATCAGCCAGCGTATGTCCGTTAGCTCGTTGATATCCTTGAGGGATAATTGCAAAATTGCCAATGTTTTGGCACAATGTCCAGTCGGTACATTGGGTAGGCCAGTGCCGGTCGTCGGTATACCATCATCTATTGCGGTTGCCAGTGGAGTCCAGTTGTGCAGTGTCGTAGCATAAAGGTGAAAGATCATAAAGACGAATCAATGAATATTCAATATGGCAGCTCTGCTGCTGCTGCTGCTGCTGCTGCTGCTACTGCTGCTACTGCAAACTGCTATTTCCAAACTGTTTGGCTGGCAGATGCATTTGTGTTTGTGTTTATGTGTGTGTGTTTGCTTCTGTCTGTTTAGTTTTCCCTCTGATTATACCCTGTGTGCATAGAAAATGCTTGGGGCATAATGATTTGGTTTAAGTGCAAATAAGAAGGAAAAGTATTTGAAACTTAAATCAATTGTAAAGTCAATCTGTCTGATGGTTTGACAGTAAATAAAATAAATTAATTTTGTATAAAAATATACAATATATGAATTAAATGAATGTGAACATTTTTCAATACTTTTATATTTTGAAGATTCATCTATATTTAATTCAGGTTTAAAAACACTGAACTGTAAAGTGTTGTGAAAATGGTTGGAATCATATCTTGGGAATTTAAAGATATTAATGAAATATGATAGATATCACATTAAAATAGTATAAATACTCTTCTATTTACAGATTCTAACGAATACATTGAACGTTTTGTGTATCTTCAACCGCTTAAAATCAATATTTATCCATTTTCTAGGTACTGCTTGTGCACTACAGGATATTTCCCTTAGCGGCACTCCCGACTATGACTAAAATCTGTTGACTATTGAGTACAGGGTATTTACTCGGCCCTGGAGCACCTGTCTGCTTCATTTAGTTTTTGTTATTGTTAGCAAGTGTGCGTGTGTTTGCCCATTTGCCACGCCCCCCAATTGGGAAGGCAGCAAGCAGCAGGAGCTGATGCAGAAGCAGGCAGTCATTTGCTTTAATTGCGTTCATCGTTCCCATTCTCATTCTCGTTGTTGTTGTTGTCGCTTTACCTGCCACATCGCTGTAGTATTTGCGCCGGATAGCATCGGGCGCCCAGGTGCGTTCGATGATTGGTATACGCTCCTTATGGAATTTTGCACAGGTCTTGATTGCGAAATAGATGTGTGCGCCAGTTGTGTGCACCTGTTGTGGGTGAAAATGGTTTGGGCATCAGTTTTGAATTCCAGTTTGTGTTTGACCGTTGTCACAGAATTTATGGTTATAGGTTTCAGATGCTAATTGCCTCAATGAACGAACCTCCCACATCAACATACCACACCCTCCACCCCACATACTCCCCACTGTTTGTCTTCATTTAACTGCCAAGCATTATTCAACTAAGCCAGCATCAGGCAATGGTTTTCATATATGGTATTTATCATTTTAACTACGTTAAATAATTCAAATAATTCAAAAGTTGTTGCTTATTCAAAGCAGTTAGGGGCAACGATGCGAATGTGTGATATTCCTTAAATTGAGAAATTCATTTCAAATGAATTAAATGAAATAAAATTGACAAATTATTTAATAACTAAATTTATGCATATTGACGGATATTTATTATGCTTAAGATTTACATGCATTTTAATTTATTTATCAAATATATGATAATTGATTGCTTTTTGCATCTATATAAAAAATAATTTATTTGAAATGATATTGTGCAAAATTATATTCAAAGAGCATTCTCACATTAAAAGAAAGCTTGCCTAAATAAGAAAATGGGCTCGCTGTTAAAGAACTTCAGCACTGTTAGAGGTCTAAGAGTGCTCCGGATTTAGTTCATCATTTGAATAAGTGTGAGGAAGGGAGAGAGAACATGCAAACACTATTGCCTTCATACCACTGCACTGCACTGCACTGGCAATGATCTCTTTACGTAATTCGAGTGCGCGAGTGAGCAAGCGAGCAAGCGAGCCACAGGCATTGTTTTTGCGAATGTATTGGTGAGTGTGCGAATAGCTTAATAAAGGAGTTCGACCAATAAGGTACTTTTATTGTGAGCGAATGAGTGAGTGAATTTTCAGAGCGAGAGGGTTAATCGCCGCAGTTGCCGTTGTATTAGTGTATTCTCGCAAGCTCTATTTTGCATAAGAGATGCATATGCAGCTGAGTGCGGGACTACAGCAGGCCATGGATAGAACAGTGACATCGTTGTTACTGTATTAGTTATTTAATCAAGGCATACACCCAAAAATATTGTTTAATCGCGAGCGTCTACATTGCGAGAGGATAAAGCGCTGGCGTTGCCTCATTTAATTATGTTAATGTGCATAGGGCAGGCTCTCTTTTCCTAAGCGATGCATAAGTTGAGAGCGCGAGCACTGCAGTATAAGTGTGAGTGTATTTGTGTAAACTTAACAGTATGTAATTGGTATGTTAAGCTCTGTATAGGAAGAGAAAGGAGCAAATATTGAGTCAGTGTTGTCTGGCGCTTAATAAGATCATTCAGTATGTGCGTGACTGTCGTGCAGATCGGACGCTGCTGTGGTGAAAGCAGCAGAAAATCTTGAAATATATAAAAAAAAAGCTCGACAGTGTGTGTTGATTTAATATAAAAATTGTCTTCGTGACCTTTCTGTGAGTTTATTTGCATTACATTACATTTTCCACAAAACTAAAATGCGAATATTCATTTACTTCAAAATGGCACTCGAAAGAAAAAGGTAACATTGCTGCTAGTTTTTTTTTTCAGTTTGCATGCACAATGAGCATGTATGTGTGTATGGGAGCATGGCTCAGTGATAATTTTAATCTTGGACTTTAATCACATTTACTTCTGCTGACCTTCACAGAGGCAATGCATACGACCATATGCCAAACTTAAATGCCTACTGTTACTTGAATATATGTATATATATATATATATAAACCGTTATTCAACTCACACAATGCACGGCACTCCCAGCGGCCATTTCCGGCTTGGCATGCAAGACACAGGACACAGGCTTTGACTCCTTTGCTGCTGCTGCTGGTGCTGCTGCTGTCGTCTCTAAGGACCCCAACGACCAGGCTGGCGATACTCTCGCCCAGGGACAAATGTAGTCAGCACTTTTCAAAATTATTTTGCGCTGCAACATGTCGACAAAGTCGTTGTCGTCTCTGCTGATGCTGATGTTGCTATCGACGTTGTTACTTCTACTGCCGCTGCCGCTGCTGCTGCTGCTGCCATCATCAGCAGGTGCTATATTATCGAAAATGAATCGGGCCAACTCATGGGCCGCATCTATGGCAAATTCGCTGTGCCTTGTGGCATTTGGCGCATTTAGAGCAACAAGTTCGACCAGGCTGCAAATGCATGTTCCATGATGAGTTATGGCCAAACATGATGCTGCCTCCTTCATCTGGACTCACCTGCGCAGCAATGCACCTGTAAAAACAACGCCGGCACTTAGCATGGGATATGGAAACCATGTTGGATCCTTGTAGTTGGCGAAATGGTGCACAATCGTTGCCTCGGTGTCGTACAAGGCGTGTCCGTAATAAGCTAACTGGGAATGGCAAGGATATTAAGTAGAACAGTTGATACCGTCAAAATTTGATATGATGAATAACATTTCATTTAATATCTAAATTAATTTGTAAATTGTGTCAGCTTGGGAATGCTGAAGAAGTTGATATATTTTTGATATACTTGTTTAACAATATTAAAAATAAAAAAATATTAGCCTGGTTACAGAGCAAATATCATTAGTTGTATTTGTAATTAATTAGTGAAACAGGCTAGTTTCTAAAAATGTATTGTTTTTTGATTTTTACAGAATGGTTAATTGTTTTTGGGTAATGAGCCAATATCTTTAGCTATTATTAATTATTTGAATACAGAATTGTTTTCTGTTTTTTGTTTTTTTTTGTTTTAAATAAATATGTAGCACTGTTTAATGTTGCTTTAAAAACATTATGCTTTAAAGAACATTTTAATTTGAATTTAATATTTCTGAGGATTACGTATATTCAATTTTAGAATCGTCGAGGGTTTACGTTGGCAATCATATCCTAACTTATGCCGACAAAATCGACCAATTTTTTATTAGTTTAGTTAATTTTTGACATCTGTTTTCCTTATAGGATGCATTATTTTAGCTCTGAACATATTGACAGGTATTTTTGGACACTTTTTAAAATGTAATATTTCGAAATTTTTCTGTTCACCTCTTGCGCATCCCGCTGATGCAGTTGGTCGAGCAGGCCACGCAGCGAGGCGACGTGCGTGTTGTGCTGACACCAGATAATCCAATCGGTGTTCGCGTTTAGCAGACGTGTCTTGCCTCTCAAATAGGGCAGCGCATCGAGCAGGGTCCAGTAATTGAATAGTTCATGCATTATGTGCACCTTAATGGCGTAATTGTAATCCCTGGGGATCTCGTCCGATATTTGTTGCTGTCGCAGATTATCGCGCAAGGTGCGACAGTGCTCTGCCGCCTGCCGCGGACACGAAATGAGCAAAAGAATTTCACTGCCATTGCAGAAGCGCCCGAGACACGTTAAGAATAGTAAGAATTGCCAACTGGGCCTTAACTGCATTTTATGCATTTTATTTGGCCAACATTTTTGGTTAATAGAAAATCACTCTCTGGACTTTGCCGTCGCGTTGCCAATCGCTCGAGAGTGTAGCTCCGCCGTGCTCCGACTGCGACTGCATTAATGAGCGTGCGAAAACGTACTGAAGCAACTGTGATTGAATTTCCACAATTTTTGGCGCAAACGGCCAGAACATTTTCGTTTAGTTAATGCCAATGCGCAGGCGCCAAAGTCCGGTCAAATTTCATGAATGAATTCCGTTTAGCGCGCAACAGTTGGCCAATACCAGCATTGGCCATGGCAATGAACTAATGTGTGGCGGTGTCGGTGTGTGATTATATGTGTGTGTATGTGTGTGACTAATTGTAAAGGTGTATTGCATACATTTGTGCCGCAAACAGGGCGCACCCTGTATGGATGATACGCCCTGTGTTACTTGTTGGAATTGACTAAACAAATATGGGTCAGATAGGAGTAGGAGTATATTCATGCCTTGTTAATATGATTTTAATTTAATGGTTGTACTTAGGGTAAAAGGAAGGTGATTCAGTGGAGCCTCGTTATCGGAACTCCACTGTATATATGGATTAGTTATAGCAAACGCCGTGCAATTGCTAGATAAGAAAACGGTTCGATAAAGTTTAAATTGGTTTTATGTCAAACTCACGCGCATTTGCATATATAGCAAAACACATTTTAATGACTCGCAGTTGTTTCTAAAACAACTGTAGAAAGTTTATAAAAGAAGATATCAAAGCAGAAGACAAACAGCTAGCTAATTATATATATAATTTGTGTTTAATCAGCTTTTTAATAGCATATGTATACATATTTATTGATTTTAGTTTTACTGCTTATGCACATAATTTTTGGGATTAAATAATTCATAATTAGCGAATACATGAGTGACATGTATAATTAGTCGTTAACATAATAAATGGGAATACTAGTTAGTTAGAGCAGTTAGCTAGCTAGATTACATACATAAATTCTTAGTCTAATGCATGGGCGAGGCCAGTCGTGTGGTCGTCTGCATATTGTTGCTGCGATTGTTGAGCTTCAGGCGCAGCTCATTCACATGCTTGAAGAGCAGATCCTGTTTCGAGAGCAGCTCACGTGTGCGCTGGCAGCCATGCTGAGGTGTGCACAAGCCGGGATTCCAGCGGCAATAGAGACCCCTCCACAGGCGCACGGCACGCACGCTGGCAATGGGGCGCAGCACGAGCTCGGCGCCATGGGTGAACGAGGGGAAGAGAGGGTTCAAATACTGATCCAGCGAGGAATTAATGTGTGTCCACAGTGAAATGGTCTTGTGCTTCAGATCTATAATGGAGTTAGATATAGTAATTAGTTATGGCATATATAGCATTGATATATAGCGAACTGCTCACCCTCTGCCACCCGCTCTGCCTCGGTGTTGCACAGGAAGGTGCCAAAGCGGCATGAATACAAATGATCCACAATTGTGATGAGGAAATGCTCGTTGAATTCGAATGCGTTGGTAAACTGTTGACTCACTTGCCACACGCTATCAATGAACTGCAAAAAGACCGGCGAGCGATCAGCATCCGAGTGCTTGTTATCGCCGTGGCCGATGCGTTGCTGGAACTTATGACCGAACGACAGCCATTCCTTTTCGATAAGCACTTCGAAGCCGCGTACGGTGCGATAATGCGGATCCAGCAACAGCATCGATAATGCCGTCAGCTGTGCTGTGCGATCCCAGCCATCGGAGCAGTGGACCACCACGGATGTGCTCATTGTTTCCACCTTGTCGACGATGCGCACAGCTCCGGCCAGAACGCAGCGGATGTGCTTCAGCCATAAAGTGCTATCGATGGCCGTCTGCCATTTGGAGTCATCGGTGGTTGGGTAGCACGCCTCCTTCACCTTGCGCAGGCTCTCGCGCATCACGTGAATGTTGTGTATGTCGAGGAAATTGATTTCCACATTTTTATAGGCATCCTCCGATTCGTAGCCGCCGCCCTTCGCCTTGTTGGCAATGGCATTCGCACTGGGCCGAGCATCCATAATAGTCAATTTATCGGACTGCGCATTCGCTTCCATAATGTAACTTAGGTAGGTCTCATCATCGGCATTCCGTTTGCCACTGACACCGACCAGAGGTTGGGAACAACGTGTTATGGTTGCCTGCGTGCGAGGATTCATCCATGATAGAACGGGCAAACGGCAACGCGAACGAAATTGTGCAACGCGACGCAGGAAATCATCAGAAGCTGCCTTTGGCACGGCCCACACAGCTGGATAGCTGTCGCAAATGCCGTAGAACTCGTTGATCTTTGTAACACGCCACATATCGTTGGGCACGCCCAGGCGACGCAGCTCGGCCAACGGCTCGTACACCGCCCAGCCATCCCAGCCGGCACTCACAGCTGCATTTGCCGTCGACGGCTGAGCAGCTGCAGCGGCATGAGCAAACGCAAAGAGTTTGCCGCTGTAGGAGAGCGGAAATGCATTGGCCTGCAGCTTCTCGAAAACTGTGCGACGCGAATGATTCTGCTGCTTGTGTGCGAAGCGTAAATTGCGCATATCTTTGCAGAAGATTTCAATGCCATAGCTATTCTCGCCACGTGACGTGGCACCACCGATTTTTTCCACACGCGCAATCACGCCTAACGGCACGTCCACAACGACTGGGGGCTCCTGATCGCGCAATGGCAGCGAACGAAAATATAGGCGATAATTGGTGATGGTTAGGGCACCGAAGACCGGACCGCGATATGGGCACACATAGGTGACATCGTTCTTTTGATCCTGATCCTCTTCGCCGTCCAAGTAAACAAAGGGCGTATCTCTTTGTTGGCCGTTTTCAGCGCCGTGCTTGGAGCCCAGCGAACTTGACTTTGAGCTGCTGTCCAGCGAGTTGCTGCTGGCCGTTTTCGATGCCAACTTGTCGGCTGAACTTGATGTGGCATCCATTGCAGCGGAATGGTTAATTATCAACTGTTTCAGTTGTCTGATTGGATACTAAAGCGTAAACAAATTTTGCGTCGAGTGAATTATTTTTTTTTCTTTTTTTGTTCACAGTCGAGTATTATCGAACGACAATCGGAACAAGTTCATCAGATGAACTGAACGAGCAAACTGAGTTTTTGACTTATGTTATCCATGTAGGTAGTTAATAACATACATATATTTCTTATATATGCATGATAAAGCATATTACCAGAAAATTGATAGTTATCGCAATCAATTATATAGTTTAATTATCAAAAACTACATTTTAGTCCTTAGATGCCATTACACCACTCAGCACCTCTGTTAGTAAACATTACGTTCACAAAACTGTTACTTTACATACGACAGACTTGAGCGCCAAATTTGAATAGCAAAAACTAAACTCTTGGGGTCCCTTGCTAAATAGTTCCAAACACTTTGTTTTTGTAATAAATTTTAATTTATATATATGGTACATATAAAAAACTCCTGAACGGAATTTTCGCCTTTACTAAATTGTTAGTTTTCTTTTCACAATATTATTTAAATATATGTACATATGTATGTGTTTTTATGTTTCCTTGTATAATAATAGATTGTATATATTGTATTTAGTTTTACTTTAGTAAGTTGTATTTCTTTCTTTTAATTTTTTTTTAAAAAGATTTTTTAACAAAAGTTAACAATTAAACCAATATTTTTGTTCAAATCAACTTAATTTTTTAGTTAGTATTTTTATAAATTTAGATTAGTTTCTTCTCTTTGTTTGTTTTTTAATGTCACATTTACGTACATTATTAAATACGCTAAGCATCAACAGAAATCATTTAGCTGACTAAAAACGAAATGAGCTTTCCAATTGGTAAGTTCAATTACATAATTTGCTCCTCATATGCAGAGCGTGAAAATTAAATTGTGTAAATTATTAAAAACTAACACTAATCGATTTAATTTTTTTACTAAGGAGACTATTACTTAGGGAGCAGATAATGCTAGAATTGCATATGTTTTGTTTAAGTATTATTTATCTTGCTTTGAATGATTCATTTCATATAGTCAAATGTATCCTGTTGACGTTTTGTGTATTGTCTTAGCAGTTTTTTTTTACGAACATGTGTTTTTGTTTTGTTTAATTTTGCTAATACATTTGAAGAAATGAAGTTATAGTTTGCCTTTGTTTTTTGTTTTTGTTATATATACTTAGAGACAAAGCGTTAGTTGCAGTTTTGGTTGTTGTTCAAATTAATAAAAACTTATTCATTAAACTAATAATATGTTAGCAAAACAGGCAGTTTGTGTGCTTTCAACATATCCGATGTATGTCCATAAGTACATAAGAACTTTACAAATATTATCATAGTGTGTGTATGTGTATATATGTGTGTGTTTGTGTAAATGTTAGTATGAATAAACAAAGTCCGTAAATAAAAGAATTTCATTTATTTAGTTACCTTCGTCTTTGTATAAACTAAATTAACAACATAAAATTAAGGAGTGGGAAAGTTTTGTTTTGAAAAACAATGGATATGCTTTGTGAATATATATATATATATATATACATACATGTAAATATATACACATATATATGTCATATTTATAAATTTATGCCAAGACATTGGGATTGCAATTCGAGCTTCGAGTTTTGCCAATTACAATTGTTGCAAATTATTTATTAATATTAATTAGTAGCATGCCTAATTTGTATTTCGTATATTAGTTTTTACTCATTAATACAAAGGCTAAGTACTAGGTGTAGACTTATAGGGGTTCCTTGCCTTTAAAGCTTTTTTAACTATTTCGATTTTTCGGTTTTCCATATGTAAATAGTTAATAAATGTGGGCGCTTGCGACTTTTTACTTCAATCTTCTTCACTTTGCTCTATAATACTTTCTTTGTTAGTTACACGTATGCTTGATAATGTTAGTTATACAGTTATATAAATATATGTATATATATATATATATATGTATAAGTGAGCTTTATATGTGTGTTGTATATTAAACTAGCCGTATTTGTTTTTGTTTCTTTTTTTGTATACACATATAAATTTTATATATATAGTATATATATATATGCAGCTGTTTACTATATATGCCTGATTGTTGTGCATGTTGTTCTCTTCAGTTGAATTAAACCCGATCGGAGCGCCTTGCCCTACTATCGAAATGATATATAAGGTAAACTTAAAGCATGCCATAATGTCATATGTATAGTGTAAAAGTATTTAAAAAAAAAAAAGAATAAAATAAAAAACAAAATTAATTGAGTTAAA